AGAAATTGTCATGCTGCCAATATGAAATCCTACAGCAAAAATTGACCAGAAACTAATGGCTTATGTATTATGAAGTTCTATTTGGAACCTTGGATAATCAATAGGTAGGTGGCGCCCCCTATTGACATCTTAGAAGTTAACTCTACATGGACTATTCGATAGAGGAAGTCATACTCTACTAACCTACATACTTCCTGTTCTGAGGTCAAACATTACTGTGAAATATACAGTCGTCTTTTGCACTACTCATATGAGATATTTTCTTACTCATCTCCTTTTAATTTTGGTGCTCTCGTGCGATGTCTGCTTTTGACAGTTAATTTTCAATGATAATATTTAGATTTACAGGAGATGATTATCTTCAAGTATATTCGTCATTTCAATGATTAGATTTTAATTCCTTTTAAATATCAAAAGATCATTAAAAAAAATTCATCATATGAGAAAAAATTGCCTCGTTAATTTTTTTTTTTTTTGGCAAAAGTTAAATCTAAATTCATACCTTTTTGATAATCAATTCCTTCGGTAACAACAGCAATAAGATTTAGATTTGTATATTTATAAAGAACACTTCTATCACCAAGAACAATACCAGCCGAATGAACACGATCTTTACAAAAAATAAAATTTTCGAAATTATTTTTTACTTTTTTAAAACAAATAAATGATAATTTCAATTTACCTGAACTTGATCGAGTATGTATATTAATAACTTCTTCATTTTGAAATGAAACACGCCATACTTCTTTTAAATTTGTAAACTAAATATATAAAATAAAAATGTTCTCAGATATTTTAGCGTGCAAATATAAAGTTGTTATCTTCAATAATTTCAATTCTGAATCGTCAAACTTTATATACATCATCGAACATTTTTTTTTCTCTCAACTAGATTCGATCCATATCACTTTCAAATACTAATCATCAACCTAATGACATTCAACTAAAATTTTTTACTTACACTTTGTTGTTCATTTTCATTTATGGATAAATAATAACCAATAAATACTTGTTCATTTTTATCAAATAAATAAATATATATTGGAATTTGTGTAGTTAATGCTCGTGATAGTGGTACTGATGGATATGTATGTATCTATAAATTATAGAATTTTATTTCATTTTATTTTTGTTTTTTGAAGAAACAAACTTTATTATTTGTATCGACGAATAATAATACTTTACAAAATTCATCAACAATTTGTGTTGATAGAAAAACATGTTTTATACGATATGGTAATGATGATGTACTTAATGTATTATCTAAATCTCCTGTATATGGATTAAATGTTCGTACATGTGTTTCATGTAAAGAATTCTAAATTAAAATTTATAATTTGAATAAAGAAGATTTTTTGCTACTTTTTTACTCGATCACGATAAACGATTGATGCTAATGGTTGATGTGTATAATGAGCAGCTGAACGAATATGAAATAAAGGTACTTGAACTGCATTAAAGTGTTGAAATGGTGCGAAATTATTAAAATACTGTTTCCATAAAATACCACCACTTTGTGTTAAAATACCAAACACCTTTTAATAAAAAAAAAAAATTAAAAAGAAAATTTTTAATAAATAAATGAATAATTACCTTTCCTACTGATGTAACAACAATAAAAATTTTATTTAAATTAAATTCATCACGAATTGTTGCAGCTTGTTTATCCGTATAAGCACGATTTCGATTTCCATGTGTAAATAAATCAATTAAACGTAAAAAGAAACTCTAAAAACAGAATGAAATATAAAAATAATTTTAATTCGAGTTTTCTCAATATAATATTTACAATTAATTGTGATAATTGTGTTGAAATTCGTTTTGTAAACATACTAAACACTCCTGTACCACCAAATTCTTCTTCAATACGCATTTGTCCAAGTGATAATGATAAATCAAATGCTTCAACAGATATTATTGAAGATAATGCTTCATCACGATGCAAAATTAATTCAGCTAAAGAGAAGAAAATCATTAGAGTTTATTGGTTTTTTTTTTCTAAAGAGCGTTGTTATATATCGAAAATGAATACAATATTGAATCACGTATTAGTTATGAATCTTCTGACTAGGCAACCATTCGAACTGATACCTACCATTTCAGATTATGAGCATGCTTGACTGAGACTAACGAAAGTTAAGAAGGGTTCACCTTGATGGGCTTTTGAAGCTGATTTATGATCGTTTTACTGCATTTTCGACCAACTTTTAGGCATATACTGAGAAACTAAAAAAACAGAATTTCGCTCATAGATAAGTCCAGGAGCTCGTAGAATATTCTAAAAGTTTCAATCTACAAGAATGTTTTTTTTTTGTTGAGATATTGAATTTTAATAAAAATATTTATTTGTAGAATTCAGCGGTTCCAAAACGACTGGAACCGAACCAGAGCCGTTGAATTATCAAATAGATACAAAAATTCTTAAGTCGATGTAAAAAAATTTTAGTTTTTTCATGCTTAAGATTAAAAATTTCAGTACATATGTCTAATATTGTTTTGTTGAAGTACTGAAGTATGTGGTGTTTTTAGTCTCAACAATTCAATAGTGAAAATTTCTAAAAATATTTTCAAAATTTTCGTATCTATTTGTTGATATAATGGTTTCGGTTCCACCGTGATATTTTGGGAATCGAATCGAAATCACACTTTCTCATTTCTAGTAATCAGAAGCGTCGAACTCGATTCGTTTGCCAGTGACATGTTTAAAAAAAAACGAGTTTATTTGAAAATCCAAGATCTCAACAAAAGAACATTCTTTATGACTGAAACTTTGAGGATACTCTAAGGATCATTCGACGTATCTTGGTGTCGATTTTTCAGTAAATATTTAACAATAGGTCGAAAATTCAGTAAACCGATCCTAATTAGACTTTAAAGGTCGACGAGAACAAACTCTTTTTTAGACTTGCTAGCTCTATCATGTCGTCCTTGTAGGCTAATCAAGAACTCAAACGATAGACATTAATTCGAATGTTTCCCTCATGACTAGTTCGGTATCAAGAATAAAATGTCTTTCGAGAGATGCATGACCATGAAATACATCTGTACACAAGATAAGATTATCTTTCTAATGATGTGCATGTTGAATTTATAATTGTTTTCATACCTCCATGATCAGCTAATTTAATAACAAGTAAAGAACCATCTTGCATTCTGAGAGTAACTAATTGTGTATGTTTAACAATTGAATATGCAACATATTCAATTCCACCCATATTTTCTGGAAGTAAAATTGAATATGAACGTGTATTTGACAAAGTTTGTTCGTTTATATTTGAAACATAAAAATTAAGTTTTTGTTCACTTGCTGATGCTTCAAGAATTTGTTGTCCAACAAGATTTTTTTCTGTAATAACACTATAAAAACCATTTGATTTTATTTGAATATTTAATTCATGAAATTCCCATTCTATTGTTGATTCTTTTTTATTAAATTGATAAATTTTTGTTTCAAAATTTTCCATTTTTATTGATAAAATACTATTTGTATTACTTTCATACAAAATACGTATTTGTTCAATTTTATTTGGAACTTTTATGGTATTAGTAATTATATTTGTATCATTCATTGTTGTTGGAATTGTAATTATTGAAAGTTCATTATTATTTGAACAGAAAATTAGATTATTGGTTGTTGTACATTTACTATTAAACGAAAATGAATAAAATTGATTTTATGTTTTGTTTTTATTGAAAAAATAAAAATAAAAGTAAATCTTACTTTCGACTATCATCAAAACTAAATGACCATGGTATTGATGAAGAAAATGATTGAGCACCATTTTGTTTTGAATAATAAGTTATTTGAAGTTGATTTATATTTGAATCAATACTTCCAATAATAACATGTTGTGATGTTGATAAAAGAAAAAGATTTTTTAAAGTTGATCTTTAAGAGAAAAAAAAACATAATTAATTTTATATTAAAATTAGAATTAAATATTTACTTTGTTGGAAGTGTAATTGACCAGAGCATTTCACCATAGGATGATACACTCCATAGAAGATCATTACTTAGAATATGAATTGTACCTAAAAATAGAAGTAAGATCATTAACGATAGACATCAATTATTTTGTTATCGACATATTCTAAGATATGAAATTAATCGTAAATTTATAATTTGATTTTTTTTACAAAGAAACAAATCTTTCTTATCATCTAATTAGATTCGTTTAATAAAGATTTCTATAATAAGATAGAATGTATCAAATGATGCGTTTAGCGGCAAAGAGAGAATTTTTTCAACTAGAAAATGTTGATTATCATGTTTCAAAAACTAATTATCTGGAAATCGTTAATCAAATTGTACCAATTTATTTCTATTTTTGAATGAACTGATCCTATCATAAAATTGAAATTCTATTGTTTGTATCTGCAAATAGTTTCTTAATAATTATTAAATTTTACTATTCTTTATGTTTTAATAGTACAATATGGAAGCAATAAAATGCGCTTCAACAATTGACTACTTAATCTGTATAAAACAATAAACAAGGTTAAACAAAATTAGTGAGGGGTATTATCTTGATATGAATAATATACATAGCAAAAATTTACCTGGATCAAATCGATTTTTCACTACTTGACAATATTTAGAATTCGAATCTTGATTTGAATTAGTCGTTGATGTTGATGCTAATTGCCATACTTCAAGACCATCAGCATATCTCAATGCACGTACACGTTTACCTTGTCCTGTAACAATAACACTTTCTTGATCATACCAAATAATTCGATCAATTTTTCCATATTCGTTAGCTTCAAAAACTTTTCGCCATCCTAAAAAATAACATTTAGTCACATAATGAGAAAGTGAGTAATTCATAATATTTTCGTCACGCATCAAAGTCTGATTTTTTCTTATCCTTCACCCTCACCACCTACAAACATTAACTATTCATGGATTATTCACATATTTTCGTATATAAAAACGAAACATTTATCAACATTAATGATAGTTACAAAATAACGATCAAAACAAACACAACAAATCATCGATGGACCGCATGGTAACAAAAACTGTTGATGCTATACAACGATTTGGTGAGCGTCTTGAGCGACGTTTATCAACTGGTGATGACGATGATTACGGTCTTGAAAAATCGGGATCAGGTTATATGCATTCAAATTCTGGATCAACATTTCATCGACCATTAGATGGTCATCCTCATAAAGATTTTTATTCATCACGTCAACAAGACTTTGCTTATGGTGGTGCAGAACATCATTCTTCGGATAATTTAGCTGCTAATCCTGGTGCGTATAATAGTTTTCATAATTATCGACAAGGTCCAATGGATAATCGACAAGGTCCAATGGGTAATCCATATGGTGATGGTATGATCAGACCACCTTATGGAGCTGGAATGCCTGGCCATATGCATTATGGTCATGGAGGAGCATATCCTGGCCCAGTACCACATGGTGGTGTTCCTGGTAGTGTAGGATATGCTCCAGATTATTATATTGCTGAACGACGACAAGTTGAATTAGTTCCTGCCCCACCACCACGCTATATTCGACAACCAGTTCCTGTTCCTTTTCCCGTTGATCGCCCTGTACCTCAACCATATCCTGTTGAAGTACCTAGACCAGTACATATTGATCGACCTGTGCCCGTACCAGTTCCATCGCCAGTACCTTACGATCGACCAGTGCCTTTTCCTGTACCAGTTCCAGTTCATTCACCACCAGTTCGAGTTCCAGTCCCTGTTCCATGCTATGTACCTGTTGGTGTTCCTGTTCCATCACCTCCTCCAAGTCCTGCTATGGTCGAAAATTCAGTTACTTATAGTCAACGTTGGGTTACTGGTTCACCTGTAATGATGAATCAACAACGTTATCTGGCTGGTTCACCTGTCATGGGCATGAATCCATGTATTACACCTTATGGCCAAGGTCCCTTTATTCGTTAAATACTATTTTTTCTTTTTGATTGTAATGTGTTATTCTCTGTGCTCTTTTTCTTCATAAAAAAATAATAAAAGAACAAAACTAAATAATTACCGATTTTTCGTGCAGATAAATCGAGCGAAGCAATAACATTATCGTGACTGGAAACAATCAAACGATTTGTGCTGCCAGAAGGTTGATGAGAATCATCTATGAAGCCAACATGTTGACGGTGCCTAAAAAAACAAATAGAAAATTAAAAAAAACAAATTCTGACGATTCCTATGAGAATTTCATAAATATCAAATTCTGAAACGTCATCATAATTATCTCAACAACAAAGAACGACGCTATTCCCCGTGGATGTTCTTTTCAATCAGTTTCTTAATCTAGTAACTGCTTCGATTACATCGTGATTATAAATAAATACTAAGTGTCAACGTTTTATTTCCCTCTATGAGAAAAAGACTTGCACGATTGAATATTGAAAACGAATACACTAAATCTGTTGTAATTCATATTTTATATTCTCACATTCGCTTCATTAAATTTACATGATAATTCACCATTATCAATCCTATAATAATGTATTGTGTATTTATGGGCCTAAATTTCTACCCTAATCTATTTTTGACTTTCTGTTTTTTTTTGTTCTATTCTTCATTGTTGTAAAATTGGCAAAGCAAAGAACGAGACTCATTAATGAACAATTTTTTATTATAAACAGAAATAAATCACCAATATTCCGTTTTCTTATATAAAAAAAAAAAGAAAAGAAAACAAGATTTTCTTTTTGTACTTACCAATCAAATTTGCCTACTTGATCTTCAAATAAAGTGTTGACTCTATGAGGCACTAATATTATTGCGCAAATAACTATGACTAGAAAATTAATCGATAATTTCATCTAGAAGATTATTACTAAAATGTAAATAACAAAAAAAGAACAATCATTCTAGTTTTTCTTTTCTATTAATTTTCTTTCTGCGATTTAATGTTTCAAATTCGAAAAAAGTTCGCAAAAACAAACAACGATGGAAAAAATTTCTTCTTTTTTTTTGTGCTGTAATTCAGCTGTTGTTGTTATTATGTGTTTTTGCCTTTTGGTTTAATTTCTTTTACATCAAGACCAGGCGGCAATGATTGTTTGACTTTTTCAGCTTTTTCTTTATCGGTCACAATTACTAAAAAGACAAAACATGAAAATAAACATTTTATTAATTACTGAAAAATCATTGATAAAACATACATGTATATAAATAACGGCTACATCGTACTTTGAATTTGGTATCCCCTTGTCGCGTACCATGTTCAGGATTACGTTTGATAATCACCGATTTAGCATCTTTACGTCGAGCAATGAGTAAGAAATCTTTAATATCTTTGATTTCTTTAGGCATATTGATGGTTCAAATATGAGATGAATGGAAAATCTAAAAAAATATATAGATAAATTATTGATTCTTTTTCTAGTGGTAATCAAACAAAAATATGGACAATTAAATAATAAACAAGTCGATACAATATCCATATTTAACCTTATAAAAAAAAAAAAAAACATTAAAATCTTATTCCAATAAATTATCTGTTTATATAAAATATTAAAATTTCTTTTTTTTCTTCGAGAAAATTTCTTTTAAATTATTTTATTAAATTATTACTTAAAAAAACAAAATGAATAAACAACATGTCGCTAATAATCACTGAATAAGGATTCGTTCTCTTATTAACGTTTAGAATTGCAGCATGACTCATTTAAACTTGATCAATCAAATCAAATCATATAAGTTTTTTTTCTTGAAAAATAATATTTCTCTTATTTTAGACACGATGAAGATAAAAATGTTATGTCGAAATCCATCGGATTATGTCCGTGAAACAAAAAAAGATATAGTACCAATTCAACGAAATTATGATCCAGATCTTCATCCATTTGAAGTAGCACGTGAATATAGTCGTGCAATGAATGCTGTGAAAATGGAACGTATATTTGCTCGACCATTTATCTGTAGTTTAGATGGACATCGTGATAGTGTACAATGTTTAGCAAAACATTCAACACAACTTTCATTGCTTCTATCCGGTGCATGTGATGGAGAAGTAATTAAATAAATAGAAACAAAACTTGTTGCTCATATTACAAAAAAAAAATTTTTATTTAGATTAAAATTTGGAATGTTGCTCAAAGAACATGTCAAGAAACAATACCAGCACATAATGGATTTGTTAGAGGTATATGTGTAATACCTGATGGTACTGCTTTTTATTCAGTTGGTAATGATAAATTAATCAAACGATGGTCAATGGATAATTATGCTACACCAGCAATGACAATTGTTGGAAAAGTATATTGAAATATTGAGATTGTTAAAAGAAAAAATGAATGAATTTAAATTTTGTTTTTAGCATGTATTTACGTCAATTGATCATCATTATAAAAATGCACAATATGCTACTAGTGGTGAAAATGTATCATTGTGGGATGAACAACGTGCACAACCTCTTCAATCATTTCAATGGGGTGCTGATAGTCATGCTAGAGTAAAATTTAATCCTATTGAAGTAAGTTGAAAATTATTAAAAAATATTTTAATAGAATTTTCAATGTCATTTATGGTACTTCTGCAGTTTAGTCACACTGTTACATTCGATTAGTAAGTTTTATGTAGCAATTTTTATGATGATGAAAGTAATAATGTGAATAAATTGCAATAGTACTGTACTTTGTAAATCTAAAGAATTACTATTAGCTAATTTATTGCTTTAATTTAGACAACTGTTCTTGCCAGTTGTGCTACAGATCGAAGTATAATTCTTTACGATACAAGACAATCTGTACCATTACGAAAAGTATAATAATAAAATAAATTTTCATTAATAAATGATGTAGATATTTGTTTTGTTTCTAGATTACACTTCAAATGAATTCTAGTACACTTGCCTGGAATCCACTTGAAGCATTTGTATTTACAACAGCTAATGAAGATTATAAGTATATATTATTTTGTTTAATTATTATACATTTTTACTTATGTTTTAAAAATTTTTTCTAGTTTGTACAGTTTTGATATTCGTTATTTACAACGACCATTTAATATTCATAAAGATCATGTAGCAGCTGTTATTGATGTTGATTATGCTCCAACAGGCAAAGAATTTGTTAGTGGTAGTTATGATAAAACTGTTCGTATTTTTGCTGCTGATAAAGGACATAGTCGGTTCGTATAAAATTGTTAATTTTTTTCTATCGAGTTCTATTTCATTTTTAATTTCCAGAGATATTTATCATACAAAGCGTATGCAACATATCAGTTGTGTTCAATGGACATTAGATAATAAATATGTCATATCAGGTTCAGATGAAATGTGTTTAAGATTATGGAAAGCTAAAGCAAGTGAAAAACTTGGTGTGGTAAGTTATTTATTTGAAATTTATTTATATATGAAATTACATATATATATATATTAATCATTAGATACGAGATCGTGAAGCAGAAACACTTGAATATAATGATGCATTAAAAGAAAAATTTGCACATTTTCCAAAAGTAAAACGTATTGCTCAACAACGTAATTTACCAAAACATGTTTATCATGCTAAACGGGAACATAAAACAATACGTGAAAGTCAACAACGTCATGAAGCTAATGCACGTGCTAATAGCAAACCTGGTTCAGTACCATTTGTCTCAGAACGATCGAAAGTTATTTTAAAAGAAGAAGAATAAAATTTTTGTTTTGTTTTTGTTTCGTATTAACAAAAAAAATAATAAACATCTAAACAATTATATTACCGATTAATTATTTCAGTATTAAATCAATAAATATTCTGAGTAATATGGAGAGAATAGACATGATGGTAAATGAATAGAATATAGTGTGTTAAGAAGTCATGTGTTGAGTTTTTTTTTGTCCATTTTCGATCCCCGACTCTTTTTGTGATCAAGCGTGATAACTTTGGGACAATTTCTCTCTCTGATCATACGATATATTACGTCCCTCTTCAACTCCAATAAATTTGTTTAGCCTAAAATATCTATTTCTTTTTCGGAAAACTTTTAAAGTCATTATTTTTTTTGTAGCTTTGCTCAAACAGTGGATCAATTTGTTCTCTTTTTTCTTCGTAAAAAGTTCTTAGTGCGATCTCCCTAAGATATTTTCTTCGGCATCTTTTTACTTTATCTTTCACAAATGCAATGAGGAAATAGTTCATATATCAGATCGAAGAATTATTGGCATACAGTCTGGGATCGTATATCAACAATGGCTGCCACAGTCTGTGACGCGGCAAGGGGGCGATGGGAGGCAAATGGGTCTAAATTTCTATCATATACTTGAACACTCCTTTTAGATTGTGTTTCACAAGTTAACCTTAGCTAATAGGTTAAACATCTGCTAGTATCATATTGCATCGAGTTGTTTGTTGAGTTGGCACATTTTTCTTTTGATATCGGATTACCAACACTGTTTTCTCTCATATTAAATCGTTTTTTATGTTTCTTCATCCATAAAAAGAGCTATAGATATCGATGACCAGCAACATCATTGATGCTTAATCTGACGCTTGAAGTACAGGTTGTCTAATAAGATCTTATAGAAATTTGGAAGATCGAAGATGTTGCCAGTTCATAAGGGACTTAGCTTTTTCGTGCATTCTCGCAGAATCAAAAATCAAAAAACGACTGTTGAAGCAAGATTAGAGACTATTTGGTTAAGAATCGAGGTTTATTTGATATAAAAGTTGATTCTTTTTAAGTCACTTCTAGGCAGTATTGATCATGTAATTAATCGATTTTTATCTCTTTCCCTCCTAGGCAATCTCAAGTCTCCAACCATTCCTCAAAAATCAATCTTAAATCGGATACGTTCAAATCACATGAACTTTACAGGACATGTTGAAGCTGTAGTGGACAGGCTATGGTAAAATGTTCATCTCTACAGCATGACTTTTTCAGAAGATATTCAACGGAGAGGGCTTACGAACAGCTCATTTGGTAACACTAAATTCTCTTCGGGTCTTCATTCTAAATACTTAATTTTTTTTTGTTTAAAATAGAGAGTATGTCAAGATGTAGGGTATGTCAGAGCCTTTTTTTAAACTCTTAGGTTTTAATAGAAGAAAAGATCCATATCGCAAAAAATCTGCACTACCATTAGCAAAGTGCTCCTTTATAAAATAGTAGCAAAGCTTAATTGTAAAAAAAAACATCTGTCATGCCTTACATCCTGGTATGCTCTCGCAAAGAAAAGAAAAACAATTGGTTACAATGAAGCTCCTTCAATAATTCTGGTATACACACAAGATTCAACAAATTTAAATATAGAAAGAATGAAAAAGATTTCCTACTTTTTTGAAAACAGCATCTTTTTCAAATAACTGGTAACAGAAATCATCAAAAAATTTCGCAGAAAAAGAAGATACTGAATAAAAATCGTTTCGTGTATGAAAATCTAGACATTGAGCTATCCTTCCATGAATTTATTTTAGTTTCGAAAATTGACTTTTTCTGAGGACGCCGTTAAATGATCAGTCGGCCTTATCTTTGTCCAACTCCTGTAACTAATCACATGATTTCGGACGATTACAATAGACCTTCATTACATGAGAAGACTTGTCCTATGAAATTACAAAAGAATGTCGAAAAAGAATAAAAAAGTGACACTTGTCTCATGAAAAGTATGTTATGTGATATTCGATTGAACAGGAGTACGCATGAGATATCTAATACATAATAAGAATATTACAACGAGTATAAAACTCAATCATAACAATTTATTTTATGAAAAAAAAAACTTTATTTTCGAATTCGATACTTGAAATCTTCAATAGTTCATTTGTTTTAGGCATCTGTACTATTCATTTAACAATAGGAAATGTTGTGATTTTTCCGATACTACTGACTTTACTCGAAGCTACTTTAAAATTTTATGACAATTCAGTATTACACGACAGTTGAAGGGACCATCTATCTATGTACATATATATTACTTGCAAGTGTAATCATCATCATATTTTCACAATATAATTAAACAAAAAAGAAGAAACAATTGTTTTTATTTTAATCGTATAAAAAAAGTAAAAAACAACAAATAAGTTCCTTTATTCTTGTTCAGCATTTTCGTTATCTTTCTCTTTATATATCGCACTCCATACAAGAACAAATTCATCAGCTACATCATTAGTACCAGAATGTAGACTTGACATACAGATAAGTAATTTTGGATCATAAGTAAAATATTCGTGACAATGTAGTCCATTAAATGTAGTTGAATAAATATAATGTATGTCAACAAAACGTGCATGTCGAACCATAGCATGATCACGTAGAATACCAGTTATATAAGCATCACCAACACGTGTAACTGGATGTGGACGTTGTGCACTAGTACATAAATTATCACGACCAGCTTTTGTTAATAAATATCCAATACCAAATGTATATGGTGGATAATAAAAACCAGGATATTCTTCTTCTGTAACAAGATAACGTCCATAGCGATCAACACGTGACTTCTGTCTGAACCAACCATACATTATTGGCATGTTTGGTAATGATTCATTTCTCATAAATTCAGCAATAATACGAGTTAATAATGGTGTATTTAAATGAATATCTTCATCAACTTTAAATACATATTGTATACCTGAGCAATAATATTTACTCCAACATAATGTTGCTAATTCTTTATAAGATACAACAGGATAATTTTCTGGTAAATTTATTTGTATAACATCTAATGATAGAAAAAGTAAAAAATTTTATTTAAAACTTTTTCTTCTTCATTTAAAAAACAAATAAAATTTACCATGATATATTGTTTGTTCCAGTTCGATTTGCTTTAACATTCCATCATCAACACCCACTATAAATGTAAGACGTATTTCAATATCATTATAAGTTCTAGGAGCACCCCAAGTTGATCGAATAGCTTCACGTATGTGAACATTACTAGCACGTGATAATATTGCAATTAATAAAGTTTTCTTTGGATCAATATCAACACATGGATTAATACTTGGGTTTTTATATTGAATACGTTTATGAATTTGATAAAATGGATGAAATCCATATGGATTATCATCTACTTCGTCAGTTTCATAATTTTGTGATTGATTATTTAGAGTTTGATTAACTATCGTTTCATGTAATGTTGTTGTGGATGGTTCATATTTATAAAGTATGATACTAGCAATAAGTAATACAGTAGTAGCAACTATTTTAAGATAATCAACTGCGATTAATTTTGAACTTTGAATATATGTATGGTTATAATGACGATATATTTTTGTCGTAACATCTTTGTCCATATCAGAATTATTTTGTTTAATAGAAAACGAACTGGAATGTTGCATAATGTCTTAGTCTTCAATACTATTATTATATTTATTGAATTAAAACAGCATAAAAGAAAAATATGCAAAATAAACACAATCTATATGAAGAATATTTTATGTTAGTGTGTATTCTTTGAAAAATGTGATATTGAAATGTTGATATAAATTCGACTACTTTCTACCAACATTTAGATTTATTTTAATTTAGAAAAAGATACAATTTCATACTGATACAAATATAAAAATTGTTAAGAAAAAGAAATTATTCGATATGTTTGTTATGTTATAGTTGGTCAACAACTGATCTATGTCGGAGGAAACATGTAATTGTAAACTTACTTTTTTGCTTTATCCACAGATTAAAATGGAAAAAAAGTCAAAATGAAAAATTATTTATTCAAGGCAACGGCAGATGCTTTTTCTTTCGTATACCTATACCAATCGATAGTTATTATTATCTAATAGAGAAAGAGTAACGCATCAATGCATCACTCAATATATAGAAATATGTACATATTTTTTTGGTTTCTCTTCCTAAATGTAGGCAAATTATACACTGATTTTTTTTCACTTCTTTCTTTCTATCCAATAACACAACTGATACACTTAGTTTGATGAAGTTCATTATTATTATTTTCATTATTGACAACAGATAACTTTTAATTATCGAAACATATGATATTTCTTTTTTGTCTTACTTTTGTTTGGTTGTCAAGTTAAAAAAAACGAAAAAGATGAAAGAAAATCTCGAATATCATACTTAAATACACACGCAGAAATTCGAGATGTTGATGCTCCTTATAATACAAAAGAGAAATTTCGTCTCTACTTTTACAACAAAAGTCATTTTTTACTTATCGATTTTGTAAAAAAGATGCAACCAACATATTTGTATACCTCTGAATTCGATAAAGAAATTCAATGGCGTTCAAAATTTTCCATTGTAATACCAATTATAATTGGATTTTTACAAATGATTTTAACATTTGCTATTCTTGGTCTTGAAATAGCATCCGTAGTTATAACACCTATTCAAGGAACACTTTATGCTGGTTTTTGGCTATCAACTATATTCACTTTGTCATGGATAGCTATGTTTACATTAGGTGTTTAAGAAATCAGATAAAGCTTTCTATTTTTAATTAATTAATTATTTTCTTTTTTTTTTTTTTATATAGTTTGTTGTCATCGTTCACGTAAATGTGCGTTATATGTTTTTTTTATATCAATACTTTGTGCAGCTGCTGCTATAACTCTGATCGTTTTGGATGCTTTATTTATTGGGAACATAGAAAAATGTTTTTTTTCAAATGCAATTTGTGAAGATCTAATATCATCTTATACGCGACAATCAGGTATACCACTTGGAAGAAAAGTTCAAGTTTTAAAAGCTCAAATAGCCATGGCTGCTGCATTATTAGCAACAGCACTTTTATATATGCTTCTTTTCATTTTGGCAAGTTTGGGTAGTCGAAGTGGAACTAATCGTGTACTTATTGAAAGTTCACAAGTACCAGCACAAGTTACTCGTCAATATGGTAGACAATCACCATCACCAACATGGAAAGCAACTTCAGTACCTGTTACGTATGAACCAAGTCAACTTGAATGTCCTCATTGTGGTACAATAATTAAATTAGCACAACAAAAGAAACGATAAATTTCAAATAAACAAACTCATATAAAACATTCTATTGAATTTTAAAATGATTATAGCTTTTCTTGGGGTTTGCTAATAAAAAAAAATCAATATGTTGATATGCACAGAAAGTTTTTTTCTTTTCAAAAGCAAAAACTACTAACTACAAAAAAACCTAATGTACTAGAATTAAAAAAAAACAAAAATTATAGTTTAATCTTCGTTGCCTTTTATTAAACTTCACTTGTATGTTGTTTGATATTGTTGAATAGGTGATCGAATTATTGGCATTAAAGAATTTTGTTGTTTCATAACTATTAGAAACGAGAAGAAAGGTCACTTAGTAATTGCGTAAAAAATGAAATATACCAATATCACATGAGCCAATCGTTGATACGTTAGATTGAGACAAACAACTAACTGGCACTATGGAAACAAAAGAAGAAATTAATTTTAAAGGTTAGAATTACTAACAAAATAAACCTTCATTTTTAAAATTTTTATTATTATTTAATCGAGTTGATAAGAAATACTGACGATGTTGTGTTGAAATATCATATTCTGAACATAAAATATGCTCTCAAGGTTTAATCATTTTTGAATTATCATTATACTTACTAGGTTCTGAAATTCCTATAGGAGTATATTGTGTTGATAATAATCGTTGATATTGTGATTTAATTGTATCATATTGTTGATTAAGTTTTATTAATGTTTGTTGTAATCTACTAATAGTTACTTCATGCTCTTTACAGGATAAACACGATTTTATTGTTTGATTTTGATTATCAAGAAGTTGATCAAATTTATCAGCTTTTTCTTTAATGGCAGCATTTTCTTTATAAAGAAAAAAAAGAGAATGTGGGTGGAGGAAAATATTCTGATAATGTTCTATAAAATAAGCTTACCCATTTGAAGAATAACATAATCGTTTTCTTTATTTCTTAATTGAGCTTTACAATTCATTAAATTTTCAATAGTCTTTTGTAATAAATCTTGATATTCGTCATCGACATGATGCTTTTTCTTGATATTTCGTTGATTATTTTTTTCATCAATTGCTATATTATCTTTTTGTTTACGACGACATATACCATGATATTCAATTGAATTTTGTGCGTATGGTAAAATATTTTTATGTATATTAATATTTTTTGGTAAATGTTCTTTATTTAAAAATATTTTATCAACAGAATCATAATCATCATATTCAATAAGTAAACGATTATGAACATGATCATGTTCAAATTTTAAAATATAACCAAAATTTTTAAAATAATTTTTTAATTTTTGTTCATCAAATTCTTTAGTTATTTTATTATAGACAAATATACTTGATACCGGTAATAGACGTTCAATAAATGAACATACAGCTGGTGGAAGTAATCGTTTAACAAATAAAGGATAACTATTAATTGAATGTGGTCGTTGACGAAGAATAGCATTTACAGTATGTTGTGATACAAATGTTATTAAAGCAAAACAACATGAATTTGTTGGACGATGACGATGAGATTCATAGTTTATTATACGAGAACCAAATCGTAAAAAATAAGATTGAATTGCTTTATCATCTATTTCACAGATACCATCAACAAATAATTCATTTGACATTATGGAGATTTTTTCTTTCTTTTTCTTTAAATTTTTTTCTTTTTGAACAGAAAAACGTCCTATTAAATTTAAAAGATGATTCTTATATGTTATTTTAGATTGATATCTGAATGAATGATATGCCGAATAAACAGAATGTAGAAAGGAGATGAAAATGATTTAGTCTAGTCACGTTTCTAAAAGTAATCGAAAGCGATCGTTCTGTTTAAAAATAAATACAAATTAGACACGTTGCTGAAAGATGAAGAAAGAAAGAGCACAACATTTTATCACGATCAAACAAACGATAGATTATCGACTTCTATCATGATAGTGCTTACAGTCATACAGACGATCTTTTTTTCTCATTTTTGAAAAATAGTTAAATGGATGGCGAATAGAATAACACTTATAGACAAGCATAGAGGTTGGATCTTGTGTGCAAAAATACTGTTGATCACCAATTGTTTTTTCGATTTGCGATTTTCTTGTAAGATACTTCTACACACGATACACATGAGTCTTCATTCACATTCAGTATTTTATTGCCAGAGATCAAACAGATTAATATATAATCAAAGTTATTCATGAACAGAGATGCACCGATACGAGTGCAACATATACTGACACGTACTACTGTATAATCTCATGTACCGCCATAACATAATATGTTTTCTAAAAGTCTAGAGCTTTATATTTCATGTACTAGATTGTTCATGACAGTAGATGTACTGGTTAATACATACCAATATATAAATTCTATACTTCTAAAATTTTCGGGGACATATGTATTGGTATGGCAGTATAATAACGTACCAATAGATGGCGATACGTGAGCTGTACGAGCACTTCTTTATGCAGTGCAGTGTGTTATTCATTTCTCGAGTACAATTTGTATCCGTACTCGCTCACCCCTCTTAGTGAATATTGTGTGTGTATTTACAGAAAAATATTGTTTCTAGGTTGATATTATTCTTTATATATATTGTTTACGTCGTACACTAGATTTCGATTCTTAATCAGGTCGATAATAACCTTAACTAATCGGTCTGCTTGACAGTGAGGAAAACCACACACTGAGGATGAGGTTTTGTCGTCGGTCTGTAACAGCACTTTCACTTTATTGAGAAATGAAAATGTAACATGAATGCTGAGGAAACTTGATGATCAAAAAATACTGTTCCCCAAACAGAACATCATTTAATTTTAACAGACAAAAAAATTAACAAGAAAACAATTATCAAAAAGTAAATCGATATAAATTGATAATATTTGTCAGATCGTTTTCTACTTATCCTTTTCTTGCCATACTGTTGGATATTTCGTTAACAGATCTATATTTTTGCTGACCAAATTTAATAATTTAGTATTAACTTCATAGTACCTTTGAATATAATATGATGTTCTTACTCAATTTTCACTTTCGTCTAATAGATCTTCTACTTTTATATAGGTTAAATAACTAAAAATAATAGTGCACAGATACAAGATCAACTTTGACTTTAGCTCAACAAATTTTATTTCTTTTCAAGTTGTTTTTAATTATACTTCATTCTTACATTTATGAGCCTAGATATTGAGAGAAAACCGTAAAATAATATACTTTTATCTTGTAACGACTGCTTTTTCCAAGCTATGTCAAAAAAGACACATTTAACGTAGATTAGAAACAAAATAAGTTAAATATTCTCAACATCAATGAATGTGTTTCAGATAAAGCTTAATAATCAGTTCTAATAATCACATAGAAATGAGAATCTTGTTGCAAAATATTTCGAAATATTCTTTATCTGTTTACAGAATCCAAACCACACAACACTGGGAAAGTTTCAATATTTACGTTTCATTCAATATAATAATTATTAAGGGATGTGTGAGTTACTATGAAATTTTTCTTTTCATATCCAATAAAACTCTTTAAAAATTTATTTTTTATGCAGTGCAATCTATCCACAATTGATATGATTGTTTTGTGTTTCAAATATTCTTCGGTCTTACACGATGCTTATCGTTGTTTCTTCCAGTAAATAAAGAATATATATAAGATTTTAAAATTTTTTATATGCAAGTTATTGTATATAATTCAGTCGGAAAGGAAATCAATTTTATTATTTTAGTTGTCGTGAATTGTCTTTTCTGACTATTCAACCAGGAAGGTTTTGATATAGAGGAAATAGTAATAATCATAATCTTGTGATAATAGTTAAAAGGAGTTGCTTATTGTTGCTTGTAACTCGAAGACGTATAGATAAGTGAATGAATTAACAATGCTACTATTTGTTTAATAATTCAGTGGAATACTGCTTAGGATTCTTTTAAGGTCTTGTTTCAAATCCTATCAGAATCTTTGAAACTAGTAACTAAAGATTTCATTCAGAATTGACAATTGCCTAAATGAATTCGTATTTTTCAAATCTAGTAGTAAACTACTCAAAGTCTTCATTGAATTCTATATTAAATCTTGTCAGGATCTTGAAATTCCGTAGCTATATGCTTTCCTCATTAAAAACAGTAAATTCTTGCGGAATCCTTATCGGATCTGTCAAGTATCTTGGGTAGAAATACTAAAGATTTTCACCAGAGTTACAACAACGTAAGGAAGAGAGAAAACTTTCATACATCATAAAAAAGGAAGTGATATGTGACACAGTGTATGAAATTATGTTGCCATCAATCATTCTTTTTCACTCGTCCGTTACCTTGTGACATTACAAACAACTGAAGATTAAAAAAAGAGGAGGGAAGCACTCAGGTGCAACGGAAGAGAAAAAGATCAACTCGGATGACAACAACAAACTGAAGCTAATAGACACATCTGGAAAAACCTCAACATACTATATATATTCAAGTTATTTTATTTTAATTTCTTTCATGGATAAAATACTAGTCATATCATGAGCAAGAAGCAAGAATCGACAACAACAACTGCTGCGACTGATACGTCATCTGAACATGCTAGGATAAGACCACGACGATCTCCTTATACTCATATGGTTCAGAATTTCTTACTAGTGTGACTTGATGCTAATATCGATGATATGAATAACGACGTTTGTATTAATAGCATCAACAAGTTAAAAGACGTGATAAACAAGATACAGGGTGTCTCATAATTATAAGACCCCCTATTAAATTTCCACAAAAATAAAGATTTCCTTAATTAAAGAGGGTTTCATTTCCAATCTAATGTCACACCTAAAGACATCTAGCAGTACTCTATCATATACCATATTAGTTTCAATTTAGTCAATTACCATTAATGAATAAATTTTAAAAATTTCAAATCAGTGTGTCTCATAATTATAAGACCCCCCTCCCCCAATGATATAAAAATATTTAACTAATTCAAACTCTATCAACTCAAATGATCCTTTTTAGGAGCCATTCGAAAGAGGAGACATGCAGCTATATGCTATAAAAAAATTAGATTGAACAAGACTACTTTAAGTTCTCTACGATTCAACAAAGTAAATGGTGGAAAATTTAAATCTCAAAAAATCAGNATTATAATTGTTTGAATGTCTAAAATACTTGTTGATATGCTTGATTTATTTGAGCAAATGTAGCTTCATCTCTTTGAACATCATTTTGAATATCTAAACCATGTTGTTGTATACGAACAATTTGTTCATGAACATTAACAAATTTGCTTGTTGATGTATGTTCCATATCAGTTAGTAATTGTTCAGTTTCACATAACATTATACTAAAAATATGTATATTTTTTTTGTTTTATAAAAATAAAAGCAACGAAAATTGTATTTTACATAAAATTTTCAACAAGATCATTTAACTGTGATGGTAATAATTAGGACTGTCAGCGTTCCCCGTTCCTCATCGTTCCGTTCCTAGGAACGGGAACGCTTGTCAAAATCGCATTTCCGCGCTTTATTTCGACATGGTGAAGTTTCTAGACATCTCCACTTTCCTTTTTATGTTTGAGTGTTCAGGGTTCCACGTTCTCAGGAACGGGGAACGCAACATGCATTTCTTTCACTTTTAAAAGCTTTTCGAATTCAACGAAGAAAAAGAAAATTTCATAAAAATCATGAATTTTTATAAAGTTTGACCAAAGGTAATCGAGGTTAAGGATTCTAAATCTGCAATCAGTTTCTGAAAATTTTGAGTTTGATTTCTCTTGTTAAGGAATGGGTATGTTTGAAAAATAATAATTTTTTTAAATTTTGATTAAAGGTAATTGAGGTCAAGAAATTTGAAGCAGTAATCAGTTTCTCAAAATTTTGAGTTTAATTTTTCTTAGTAAAAATATCTTTTTTTAGTAAAGAAAATTGAGTTTTTAAAGAAAAAGAAGTTTTTGCGAAAAAAAGATCGTTTATGAAATTCTTGTTCTAACATTGTCGTTATAATTTCCTTTAGTATTGTTTTGCTATAGCGCTTTTTACTATTAACTATTCGTTGCAATGTTTTGTGTGACGCTATTATAATATTGGTTTGTGATTTGTTCCTTAGCAAATTATTGAATGCTAATAAAAAACTTCGACTTATCTTTTGGTTTGGAAATGAAAGACACCCATTAAAACATATTTTATGTTCTTATCCCAGCAGTGCTTCAAATTAACGAAGAAAAAATTTATATTATTGAACAGTAGTTTCGATAAAACTAATATTTAGCTTAACTGACTATAAAGAGGTTCTACAGATATAAAATCTCTGCATTTAGTTTAATCGTGATATTAAGTATAGATAAAGTTTAATTATCAGATAAACTCAGTGCCTGATTCAAAGAGAGATGTCTTTAATGATAAAAGCAACTTTGATGCAAATTAAAGATTTGGGTCGTAAAAGGTTCGTAGCGAAAACATCAAAAGAAAGCGATCGATGTGAACGAGAAAGTGGGTGATTGTGTAGATCAGTGTTGGTGAAGGAAGATATAGGCAGCTAAGGATGAGTGGTGGCGTAGCTAAGGAGTGTGGGTGCTGATGTATCTTTTTCTAAAGCTATACTAACATTTGCATTGAGGCAGAAAACTTCGTAAAAAACAGTTTTAGAAACTCGAATGA